GGACTATTCCTCAGGCTTCTGCTGGAGGAGCCCTTGGCAAGAGCCTGCACCGTGTCTCCAGCCCTCTGAGACGTAGTATAAAGGTGGAAGGGTGTTTATGGAGGGATCTGAGGTGAATAGAGAAAGCCACTGGTGGTTGAACTGATGCAAGATCAGACATAGGAGCGAAGTTTTATTCTTTTTTTCCCCATCATGAAAAAGCAATCTCACAGCTGCACACCAGGCTATGCAGAGGGGTTTCTGCTGCCCAGGCATCCTGTCCTCCAGCAGCAGTAAGCCCAAAAACCAGAGTGGACTTCTCTTGGTGGGACAAATTCAGGCAGATTTACAAGGGTGATTGTCAGAATTAAGATGGTATTGATTAGAAAAGCTTCTCCACTTCAGATTAGAAAAGAAAAATGATATCTAGCGATTTTCTGTAGCTACCAAGAAGACAGATGGAAATGTAAATGCACGCACATCTGCCACTTTGAGCACTAATAGTTGTCCCTCAGTTGATGACTTGTAGTTTGAACAATTTTTAGATTTTATTTTTATGAAAATTGTTTGGAGAAACTATAATTCACTGTGTTTTGGACAGCTGAAAAAAATTAGTTACAAAAATAAATACCGTGCATAATTAGTATCTTAGCATCTCTTCAGGAAACCTGATTGTAGGACTGATAGAAAAAGAGTCCAGCTACTCATAGCCATCCTCACTGCATGCTCTGCAGCTGTGACTTCTAATGTTTATCCTGAGCCATTAGGATCCATTGGCTTCCTCTGTCGGCTGTGTGCACGCTCTTCGTCCCTTGGCTAGACTGGCATGGTCCAGGAGGCCACTGCCCACCAGCCTCCTTTGAATCCCTGCCCTGGACCCATGGTCAGCAGGGCACAGCCCTCATCTGGGGCTCCCTTGCCTTCCCTTCCTGCACCTTCTGATGAAAATGTGCTCCTGAAAGTTTCATTTTGCCCATGTCTGCAGATCCCAGAGTGTTTTCTTTCGTGAATTAAGCTGGAAGCTGTGCAAGTCTTTTCCCTCTCATAACCTTTTTATGTTTTATCTGAGGCCATCTCTTAACGTGAATAAAAAAAGTACACTGCAAAGATATGACATACCAGAGATTACTGAGATCATAGAAAAAGTGGAGAAATTTATAGCTATCCATTAAAGGCTTTTTCTTCTCTTCATTTTCCTTGGCACAAGTTACCTGTAAAAATAACTAAAAGAGTAAACCAGCTTCACATAAAAATGAAGCATATATTTAAAATTACTGTCTTCATCCTGCTTTCTAGTTTTTCAGTCTTGAACCCAAAACAGTGATGAGATTTTAAGCAGTAATAGATAATGAGTTCAAAGCCTTCTCGGGCTTTCCTCCATAACCATGAGATCAAACATTCTTTACATTTCTTTTTTTTTAATGAAAGCTGAGATAAAAAAAAAAAAATCACAATACTTCAGACTCCAAGAGTCAGAGAAAAAAATAGACTTGGTGAAAATGACAGTAAAAAAATTTTAAGAGTAGCAACACTGATGAGCAAAGCTAATATTTAATTTGAGCCATCAGATACCGACTGAAAGACTGAACAGAGTCATATAATAACAGTAACAGCAAAGTAATAGGGCATTGCAAAGATCATACTCCTGTGAGTAAAACATGTTTATGTGCCAGATCATTGGCAGTACAGGAGGACATCCATATATCTAGCTAGTTTTGTCTTTTTGATTATTCATCAACTGTATGTCAAGTAGTAAAGTATAATCGAGTCCTTACAGTGAGTGGTGTCCCCTATAAACATCACATGTTGCTCAGCAGCAAAACCAAATATATTTTTGAGGTATATATGATAAGCAGGAGGTAGTTGTACACATCCCTAATAATAAAAATGATGGCGGCTCCCAAGACAGTCGGAATGTCTTTTCATGAGCTGGGTGTAGGACCTTGGCAAATACTGAAGGGTCCCGTTGCATGCTGCTGTCACTGTCACCACGGAGTTTCCCTGGGAGCAAAGCTGTGCCACCAGTGAGGTGAGACCTCTGTGGGACACCAGTGGCTATCGCTGGGTCCTTGTCCTTCATCCCCTTTGTCTGCAACTTTGATTGGGGCAGGAGATTATGTAATGTGAGCTTAAAGGATTTCTGGGATTGGATCATTTTGCAGGTGAATCAGCAGTTTCTAACCTCTCCCTGCTGGGATGGGATCTGTTTCCTTCACAGGGAGGCTGCAGACTTTTTTGTTACCTGATTAAATTGACAAAATTCTGGTAATAGCTGCTCACTTTTGAATTAAAGAAAGGATTTCCCAACAAAGCAAGGAGATTACAGGTTTTTCTTACCCCTTCTTGTATCTTCCTGCATCTTTTGCATGGAACTAAGAGTAAAAACAAGCTTTTCTTTCTGTCCTGACCATACATCTCCAAGTACAACCCCTTTGCCTTCAGGTTCAGCTTTGATGCCAGTGCTGAAAGTTGTGCAAAGCTCTGTACAGTGGAGAGCTGTCTCACAGAGCCCAGTGCGGGACTTGGCCATCCCAAGGCACCCAAACTGAGCCTACAGAGGGGCTCTGGTTCCTGGCACCTGTCTTCCTGTGCTGGTGGCAGAGGTTGGAGGACCAGCAGACAAAAACAACTTGAATTTTTAGCCGTTGCTCTCTGAGGCCCTGGTGCAAAATGTTTTAGCCCAGGATAAGTGAAAGGATTTTAGCTTTCGCTTCGTGGCATCTTCTATGCCCACAGGCAGAACCAGCTGGTGGGGCAGTGCAATTTCACCACCTCATCTCTCAGCTGTGCCACAGGCTTAAATGTGGCTCGGTGTGGAGGTGAGACCAACACAGCCCTCACCTGGAGGGATTTGCCAAAAGGGATTTGTCTCCCAATTGAAGCCATCTTTCCTCACTTTCTAAAATAAATAGCTGAGTGAGCTTGGGACTTAAAGTAAATAGAGACCAAGATGTTACCAAGTGCAAATGACTAAAGGCTAGAAGAAGAGAAAACGTTGTTCTAGAAATCTCTGGCATGGTGCGGGACACACGGCACCATTTTCAGAAGAGAGGGGAAGTGCAAGTGATGGTCACTGTTTAAACGACAATGAAAGGAAAAGGTGGAAGTTACTATTTTGTGCCTGAGCACTTTCAGGGACCGTGTGCCACCATGGCAAGGGAACTGTGCAGTTCTCATACTGCAGTGCTCTGGCATCTCAGCAGTAAACTGCTTTTTGGTTCCTTGCACTGCTAGCTAGCTGAAAGAGCTTTGAGTGATGAGCATGCAGTGTATGTCTCCCTTCAAGAAAAAACGTTCATTCAGCTTTTATTATTCCTTTAAATTTCCCTTTCTCCTAATAGGATCGGTAAGGATAAGAAAACAGCTGAATAAATGAGAGTCTGGTAGTCAGTCGTTTGTCCCAGAACTAGATGCCAGGTTTGTTCAGAGTATGGTTACTTGCTATTAAAATCCTCTGCACTGAGGAGTGCAATATGCATTATGCATTATCATATTGTCCCCATCACACAACAGCGTTTAGCATGCCCTGTTAACAGACTGAAGTTTCCTGGAGGACCTCCTGGTGTACCATAGGCAAGCCAAATTGCAGACTGTGTAATCCCTTGAATTCGCAGGATGTGTGTACCCTTGTAAGCTTTTGGACCTTCTGTTTTCTGGGGAAGCCAGTCACCCAGGGTTATGAGAGTGGGCTCTGGATGCAAGTGGAAAAATCTATATGGCCACAACTGAGTTTCCAGCATGGCAGCAGAAAGGAGAGTGCTGTGGGACTGCAGCTCTCGGCGGGGAAGAGGCAGCAGCCCTGTGGTGCACAGGCAGTCACAGGCAAGTAAAGGGGGAGAACAGAGAGCCTGCAGCCGTGCTGCAGCATACCCTGCCCTGCCCTGCCCTGCACTGAGTTGGCTGAGGGTTTTTGCTAGGATCTGATCTGAAAAAGCAAAGTGCAGATATAGTGATGTATTTCTCTTGAGGATGAAAGTCTAAGTCAGGCTTCCCAGAGCGGAATCCTTGGTTGTTCTGGGGCAGTTCTCAGTATACATTGTTGGGATGGAGGGAAAGGCAAGTTTTTCTCCTCTTTGGCTGTTTGCTGCCAATTGGAGACCAAATGTTGTGACCACTGGCAAAGCTCAGGATATATCTCATAGCTGCTCTAAACTGCACAAGTTGGCAGCCAGCTCTGGGGGCTGCTCAGCTGCCAGGGTGTGCCAGGACACAGAGCTGTCTGCCTGCTTTCCTCTCCTCCCTGAAGCCACATAGCTGGGAGGTTCCATGGGCAGGTTCCCCCCAAGCAGTGCCCGGTCCAGCCCAGCACAGTCTCGCAGAAAGCACAGGCCACTGCTGCAGAACAGGCACTTGAGTCAGAAAGGATCATTGCCAAGAGGAAAGGAGTATGTTAAGTATGACATTTAGCTTCTAGCCTTTCACTAAAGGTGATGTAGCAGCTGTGACAGATAAGGTTATTTTATAACCTAAATATTAAAAAGAAAGTGCTTCAGATGTAGAAGGAAACAAATGCAGCAGAGAGACAGGATGGGTAAATAGCAACGCACACTGATAAAAGTTGCATGTCAGTTTAGTTTTTTCTGCACTGTGTCACTCCATGGATCCTCTCTGAAGGAGTTGTATTGTGAATTAATAAAGGCAGGAAATTCCTTCTATTCCTCCTCATTGCCCTCAGCTGTGCTTCTTTATATGACGTCTGATTTTATAACTGTTGTCAATGAAAACCATACAGTAGCTCCCATTGTAAAAAAATTAAAATCAGATATGTGTCTTTGACTCAGTAAATCAGGGCATTCTCCTCACACTATAATGATGTACATTTGAATTTGTATCCCATAACAGCTCTTTCAAAGTGGAGCTTTGCAACCCCAAGCTCAACAGACCGGAAGAATTATCCATACAGGTTCATTTCTTTGGCATGTTCTTTCAAATATTCTAATTTGTTTGGGGTTTTTTTTATGAGAAAGTTGTGCAGAAGACCCTAATCTGTTGCACGGACAGTTATTTGTTCTCCCACCACAATGGAAAATTTTGCTCCTCACCATGGGCAGGTATCATTTTCTCACAGTACTGTGAAAAGATTTGTTAGTTTAGTTCATTTCTCAAACTTATCTTCCTAATGTCAGTATTGAACTGTTATTTTTCTGTCAAAAAAATAAAAACTACTCAAATGTGGAAAAATACACCCCCAAGCTGCTAGAGAAAAAGGTTGAGTATAGGAATGTTGTAATCTTTGCCTCTATGATGTCACATTATCCTGAGGAACACAGGCAACATAATTCAATTTATACCCATCACAGATTGTGCAATGTAATAACAAAACAATCAGATTGATGGTACCATATAAATGATGGTTTGGGTTTTTTTCTACAAATAGGTCTCAAATACCACACAAAAGTCACTATGACTATTTAGTTTCAACAGATGCAACAGTTTAGCCATGATTATTAGCCATTTTGTCCGTTGCCACCAGAGGAGTGTATAAGCTCTACTGCTCTCATGTACACAATCTCCTGTATTTTTTAAACAATGTTTGTCATCAGAAAGGAGCCAATTCCATTAAGTATCACCTGTTTCCAGCCTCTTTACTGGGCAGAAGAGTCTCCTCTTTGGATTACAGTGGAAAACAGCACATGCAAGTAGATAGAAAAAAAAAATCCCTGTAGCCAGGTCTCTTGCTCAAAATCTGAAGGCACGAAATAACTATTTCCCCTTTTAGGGAAAAGAGAGTCCTCCTGATTTGGCTGTTCAGCTCCCTGGAAGAGCTGTGGTCTCCCCACTTTGCAGGTGAAGGAGGGCTTCTCCTTCGCCACCACACATTTGCAATGCACCTCTGCATCAATTCCCCCGGTGTAACAGGGACCAGAGGATAAATCCATGCAGTTCCTCAGAGCAGATCCCATGATTTGCTTCCCCCAGGGCATCAGATGTGGCATCCAAGTGACCAGCTGTGCAGCCAGGTCCATGGGATCATTGCACCCAGGCAGCACAAGGGGTGTGTGCCCCTCTGCATTGTCCCTGCTCACACCTTGAGAGGTCACATCTCCCACCAAGCCATGCACAAAGCAGATGCACAGGAGTGTGCAGGGGGCCCTGACATTTGGGTTGTTGGTTACCCCCTGTGCCACCTAGAAAAGAGTGGAGGGACATCCTTCCTGGATCACCTTCTCTGGGACTACCCACCGTGAAGGACATCACAGCCACAGGGAAAGTCTGCTCAGACTTGTGGTGGGTATTCTAGTATTGGCCTCAGCAGCATCCTTATGGAAGGTCTTGGAACTCTCTGCACAGCTGGGGTGGCACAGAAGGAGCTAAGTGGTAATCATGGTGAGTGAGGCCTTATCATTTTGCAAGAAAAGTTTGCAAAAAAACAGCTTGTACTTTGCTAAGGCTCCAAACATTAGTGAACTCAATATTTTGTTTTTTAAAAACGTTGCTAACCCAGCCTGTTAGGGCTATTCCCTTGCCGTTGTTCAGATTTCTTGTATCTTCTATGTTGACTAAAATGGATTCAGAAAAGGTTGCAAGAGTTTTCTATATTTTTTTCAAGAAGAAATGGTGATTTTTCTGTCTTTCTCATGCTCAAAAATAACTGAATGCTTTTGGGGTCAGAGCTCAGGCATGGCAAATTTCAGAACCATGCAAAACAACTTACAAAGGAGGCTGCAGTAAAAGCTGCTAGACCTAACAATAACCTGTAGACCCTGAGGTCAGGAGACCCTCGCTAATTTACAGAACCTCTCAAAAAGAGAAAAGGAAAACCAGTGTCCATCTCTGTCATTGCTTCCTGCTCTCAGACTTACCGAGGATTTGATGGGGGAAAGAGGGAGAGGAAAAGAGGGCAAGTTAGTTATTGCCAGCTATCTTTTTCCTGCTGTGCCAACACTCTCTATATGTAGGGCATGCAGCTGTAGCCCATCCTTTAAGTGAGTACTAGTGCCCTGACACTGCCAGGCTGCTGGCACATCCTGCACAGGTGGCACACCTGATCATGTTGCCCTTCTGCCTTCTGTACCTCAGGTTCATTTTTGAGAGAGTCATTGGGCAATCCTGAGCACAACAGTGTCCCTGGACATGGTTGGTCTGTAGATTTCCCTTTTGTTCTGGCCTAGATCACTTGAAAGTGGAGGGCTGGACCTTTTGAGTTTGCTTATTTAGGGAGGCCACACAGCAGATGCGCATGGCACAGATGCAACTCACAATACAGCAAGACAATACAGTTATCAGCAAAGGACATGGGGGAATAATACTTCTGTTTTGATGCATGTTTCCTTTTTTTTGCAATGAGTGTGCTATTAATACCGCCATCACCAGAACTTTTGTTGTTGTTGCTTAGATCAAATAGGACAGGGACGGCGGCGAGGAGCTGCTGTTGTTCTGGCTGCTGCTGTGTGAGATGAACTGATGAATAACGTGTGTGATTTCTCTTTCCCTTGTAGTTGCACTCTGCAGTGACCAGGATCCAAGTTCAAAGACCTGGTTTCAATTACACGTTTGCCCATATATGTATCCTGAACAATGACAAGACATGCATAGTGGACGACATAGTGCATGTACTGGAGGAATTAAAGGCTGCTCGTTCTTCTAATCGAACTAATTTTGCAATCACTTATCCGATTACTCACTTAAAGGATGGCAGGGAAGTGTATAACGGGCATCAGCTCGGTGGGGTTACTGTGCACAGCAAGGACCGGGTGAAGTCTGCAGAAGCCATTCAGCTCACCTACTACTTGCAGGCAATCAACTCCTTGAATGACATGGTTGCAGAGAAGTGGGAATCCATTTTTTGTGACACTGTTGAACTTTTCCAGAAATCCAACAGGAAAGTCAAAATGTATCCTTTCACTTCTTCTTCGCTGAAGGAGGATTTCCAGAAGACGAGCAGGGTGTCAGAACGCTACCTGATCACAAGCTTGGTCCTTGTGGTCACCTTGGCCATTCTCTGCTGCTCCATGCAGGATTGTGTCCGCAGCAAACCCTGGCTTGGCCTGCTGGGATTGCTGACTGTGACCCTTGCCACCCTGACTGCAGCTGGGATCATCAATCTCACTGGTGGGAAATACAATTCCACCTTCCTTGGAATTCCCTTCGTCATGTTAGGTAACTATCTCCTATCTCCTCTCTCTCTTTTGTGTGTTTGTGCCTACCTGACATTTCCCAGCAAGCAGAGAAGCATCACTGCATGGTTCCCGTTGCCTCATCCCTGCAGCGCTGCCCCATGCCAAATCTACACTGCCTCTTTTCCTAAACTGTTTTTACAGTGTCAGGATGTTAAAATCACACCAGAGGCTCCGGAATGGCATAGCACCCTGCCGTAGGATGTGAAGCCTGTGCAGTAGCAAGGAACAAGGATATGTGAATGCCATGCTTTGTGCAGAGCGGGAGCATAGCTGCTGTTCTCTGTGGATGTTTGATTCTGGTTTCAGAGAAAGACCTTTGCAGGAGTCCCCATGCAACGCTGACAGTGTCAGCTGTGCTGGCAAACCAGAGGGACTGCCCACATTAAGCGTTTAGAGAGTGCTGGCTCCTTCAGAGAGCAGAGCGGTGCTGTCCTGGCTTGACAGGCACCTGTCTGTGGGAAAAGGGTGGTGGTTGGTTCTGGGTTGCTTTTCTCCAGAAGTCCCTGTGTTGGCTGAGCAAGCGTAGGGAGGGTTTCACAGCCCTGAGGGAGAGAGCTTTGACACCCCTGGTCAGGAACGGTTGTCAGTGCCAGCACATCCCGTGACCGAGGGTTATGGAAGGAAGCAGCGTTGGCTACTCCCTGGCTCTTGTGTCAGCAGAGGCATCCTCACCACCCTGGCTTTGGTATTACCTTCACTCACTGTGGAGTACGGAGTGGTTTCAGTTTGTTTTGTTTTCTTCAAGGGTAGGAAAAGGAGGAGAGAAGGGTGATCTTGCTCCCGACTTGAAGTCAGTGCCCTCTCCTGTTGGGACCAGGGCATTTGTGGGGATGCTGCATATTGCACCCAAACAGGCAGGAGGACTTCACAGGAGACAAAATGAGAGCTCTGGAGAGTTCACAGCCTCTTTGTTTGTGTTTGGTTCATAACCAGTGTGAAAAGCTCTGTGCGCTGTAGGTGTTTAATATGTCCTTGTTCATGCCATTATTCATTTGTGGAGAATAATGCATGCATTGATTTCATCACAGCTTCCCCAGCTGAAAATCAGTGCTCGGTAATACTTCAGGTTTCAAGTGTGAGTGTCTCCACTGACTTAGTTACATTGTGTAGTGATATGACACAGTTATTTTTATATCCAGCACCAGGTTCCTGTGCTGTGGAGGTATTGTAGTACTGTTGCACTGTGGTATTGTTGCACTTTAATTAAAGACTATGCTTCAGTGCATCACACTACCAGTTAATGTACAGAATATTTTCAGTGACAGAGAGAATTCAGCTACATTACATGAACTTTCATTTTCAGATGACATCCATGAAAGTTAAGTTATATTGTAATCTAGAGAAAATGCAGCATGAGAAAATCAGAGTCAAAAGAAGGGTATTTCTCTGACCTGAGTCTTTGGTTTCTTATGCCTGTGCATGTATTATAAAATTCAGTTCTTCAAACTAAGCAGTGTATCTTACATGTAACATTACATGGGAGGGGATTTCCAGATATGTTACAAGAGTAGCAGAAAAGCAGTCTAAAGTCCAGCCATATGAAATGAAAGTACATGGGGAAAATTACTCAAAAATATGAAATATTACCTTTGTTTGGGGATCAAAGCATCTGCTCACTGGGACAGCTTTTCAGATCTTTAATTTACTAACAATGACGGTGCTGAGACTTGAAAACCTCAGAGACTTATAGATAACTGTGAAAAGTTTCACATTTCTATTTTAGTACTCCTTAAAGTGCTGAGCTGTACAGCCAGCTCTGCTTTTCTCTTCCTTTTTTTTTCTCTTTTTTTTTTTTTGGTCTTGCTTGGTTGAAGTATTCCACTCTTAAAAGGGCATCTCAGCTCTCACTGTGAAACAAGTCAAGATAGAGCAGCCAAGTTCAGGTGAATCTTGTTTGCTTCCCCGGCTGCATAAAATCTCCCAAGGGATGGGAATATCAACAGGTGAACAGAAGGGACTGAAGGCATTTTGGAGTTTTTAATGAGAACTGTTTTAAACTGGCAGATAGCTAGAAAGGCAGGGTTGCCTTCTTTTTGTTGCTGCAGTACAGCAGAAAGATTCGTCACGCGTTTCAAAATATATTTCATACCTATATGTTGTTTCGCTTATAAAAGATATTTTAACTCAAGGTAACTGAAGGCTAGAGACACTAACCACTCTCCATTATAGCCTGCTCAACTGCTTCCATTTAATTTCAGTGACCATCAGATTAGATCATAGATTAACTGACCTTTAGAAAGCTAAAGGATTTCTGGCTAACGATGTAGCCCTCTATCTATTACTCATAATCTCAGGGCTGGAAACAAAAATTAGATAGAAAAAATGATTACACTGGACACATTTCAGGCAAGGCCCCTTTACTGGCATACATCATTAATGAAGTTTTCCCAGTTTATAGCAGCTGAGGAATTTTAACTTTTCATCAGCATTGCGGAGGTGGAGGGACACTCTCCAGACATCATCTGCCCTCTGACACAGGACAAGATTACATCTTTCATAACAGATACTTTTCTCCATGCACTTTGTCTTCCTCTGTGACTGCTTCCTCCTGTGTTTCACTGCACTACCGCTACAGCATTTGCATCATGTCTAACCTGAATTCCCCTTTTGCAACTCAGTTGTCCTCCTTATTTATCCACTGCGTCTGGAGAATAATTTCTTTTCTTTTTCTTTGCAAATTTGGGACTACTCTCACTTGCCCAGTCCTCTTCCATTTCATCCCAGGTTTCCTCAGACTGTGCTAACCAGACTTCCAGCAATCTTCTTGCTTTTGGCCATTCCACATCTTCCATGGAGTGTGGCGCCTAAATCTAGGCACAGGATTCAGGCTGAGGCTTTCAGCAGCAAGCAGAGTAGGAGGATGATTTTGCACATCTTGCATGTGGCACTGCTGTTCATACATCGCCATATGACGTTCATTTTTTTTCTCAGCAGTATGAAATGGTTGGCATTTGGTTGGTGGCACATGGTAATTCACAGATCCTTCCTGTCATTTTCTACCCTGTTTTCACAGTCATTTATTCCAAACAACATGTAGAAGTTTACCCTTGTCCTTGCTGAATTATAGCTTGTTTATCTCACACCGTTTCTCCTCCTCACTGAGTTTATCTGGAGACTATCATTGCCCTTCCAAGATGTATTAACTGAAGTTGGTCAGCAATGTTTTGCAATTATCGACTTTTTCATATTTTCAGTAATTACTTTCTGAATAGTTCGTCCAGTCACAAGCCCATTCTAATAATATAGGCAGTATGTCTGCAAAAACGTCCGGTCAAGGTGCTTTCCTTCATCCTGTTTTCTGTGACATCCCTTCTACATCAGCCATTTCCAAGAACAAAAAAGCTGTAGTGAAAGGTACCAGCCTCTGTAGATGTTGAATTCTTAACTTTTGCATCAACGGGACAATTTAAAATTATTGAATAGCCATGACTTACCAAATTGCAGTCTTAAGCTCAGGCTGTGTAAGTGTAGTCAGGAATATGTTTTGCCTACCCTGCCTGTTAAATATGACATAAGAGTTTACACACTTCATGCTTTGGTTTTAATCACCTTCATGGTAGTTTATTCTAATTTACTTTACTTTTTAATTAAGGCAGATAACCCAACTCACAAAAGGTGTCTCTACATAGTCTGAGTATGTCACTACTGTGATGATTTTTATGTTGTGGCAGGTTTCTTTGTTCCCCTCACTGGTTGCTAACTGAGTGGAAAAAATTAGAAGCCAGGAAAGATGTTGCCAGAGACCTCCTTCCCCAGTAGGCACCAAAAGAGTAAAGGTCCCCTTTGGTGACTGGAGGTTGAGCTGTGAGAGCCAGGCAGGAGACAGTACCTGGGACTGGCCTGAGCCCCCACCAAGGGGCTGTACCAGGGGCGAGGTAGCAGAGGAGGGCAGGCTGGCTGCAGCCACTGTTTTCTCTGGGGATATTTTGTCAAGTCAAACTAGGAACTGTTAGTCCTCAGCTCTGGATTTATACAGGTATTTCTAACATGAAAGTGAAGCCTAAAACCTGGAAAATTGGCAGGCTCCCACCATTTGTCTGGACTTACTTTGAATTAGTATATGCCTCCGTGGTTTTTTAAAACTACCATCTACATTTATCAGTTTGTAAACAAGTAATTTAAGGACAAGTTTACTCACATGTCTAGTTCATGAATAGGAATACTTTGTTGAACTAGGGCTATTCATTTTTGACCCTACGGACCAAAAAAAATAAATTCTACAACTTAGTTGAATTTAAAATAGCAGATTATTAATGTCAGCTGAAAAACAGAATTAAAATTCTGATTTCCTGTTGCCTGCTTCATTAAAAACTACAGATGTTTGGTCTGGCACAGATGCTAACATATTCATCATAAGTTTCCCTTACGCATTAAACACTGTTTAATAACTGCCAGTTTTTTAAAAATACCAGTTTCCTGAAAAAAAACCACAGTGTTACCAAACAAACCATTGAACAACAAACAGCACTGTCTGAACAAGTTTTTGGCGTGACTTTTTTTTTCCCGGAGGTGGAGTGGAACACAGGCACTCAAAAGAAAATTGCAGCATAGCCTTTTGCACTGAAGAGAAAACTAGCAATGTGTTTCCTATTCCTTCAGAAACAAATACAGCTTATTCAGGGAGAAGTGGCTCTCTTCAGCTGCCAAGTTCGTGAAAAGCATCGGCCCTCTGAAATCACGGTGGAATGCCAGGCGCTGCCAGATATGGGCAGGGACACAGGGCCAGCTCCATGAGCTTATATTTAGCCTCCGATGCTGGCAGGGGAAAACCAGGTAGAAGTTATGAGAGTGGCTTGAGCTTGTAGCATGCTGTAAAAGGAAATGATAGCCAGCCCTGTGTGAAACTCAGCAAAACTTCTTGCCACCTCCTTGCGTCCTCCTATCACGTCCCACCCTGGCAGCATGCCCTCTCTGGGAAGAGAGGAAGCAAAGGCAGTCAACAGAGAGGTCCAGGGAGGGATGACTGGGAAGGAGCAGGTG